AGCTATTTAGATGCAGTAGGACCAATAAGAGACGGTAAATTATTACCATCTTCAACAGTTCTCGTGGTCAATATACTAGGTATTGATTGACTTACCTTCGCAAAGCTGAAGAATAATTCTCTGGTTCTAGAACAGATTAGAATACGCTCGAAGCCTGATAAAATATAAAGCTCGATTTCGTACATGCGCGAATTTCAAACATGGTTCGCTCATGACGGCCAACTTTTCACATGTTTGAATAAAGTTTTGGTTCTTTTTTATCTTACTTGACTTTTTTAAGAAAAGAACGATTATTGTAGAAGCCCGGGAAAATTGCATACTCGCCTCTATGCGAGCGTGTTTGCAAACGTATGAAAAAATCAATCTAAAACTGTCCAAAACGTTTTGAAGTAATGATTGCTTGACCAGGTCATTAATCGTGGCCTACAATTGCAAGATTATTTTTGAGCGAGGATTGTTTGGTTTTGAACAGAACATGCCTTTTCTCTGATTTTTTTTGCGCGCAGTGATAGTAGTACTGTACCCTTGTTTTGAAAACTTCACTTAAAATGAATAATTCCGTGGCATTCAGTTTCTTGGAGTTAAAGTATCCAGCTACGAAAGAAATAAGAACAAAGAAACTGTGACAGTAAAACTTATGACGATCATAGAAGTTGCTGTGACCGTTCATTCGCAGGAGGTCTTGGGTGCGATTGATAGTGTCGACCTGGTGCTCATCTTCAGCTTGGCGTTTTTTATTGAGGAGCCCGTCATTAATTATCGCCCAAGAGAGGGAGGGAGGAAATCCTCGAGGATTTTGGTCTCGATAAATTTGAACTGTTCCCTCTATAAAAGCCAGTAACATTTTTTTGATCCCCCTCCTTGGCAGTTGGATGGCATTTAATTTTCCAAAACATTTCCCCCTTTTTACTTTGTTGGCGACGACTAACTCCTCTCTGTTCCTCTGAAAGCCATTGATTCACATCCTCCCTCCCTCCCTTCCTTCCTCCCTCTAAAAATAGATAATAAAGAATCATCCAATCTCTTCCCCCAGGCGGTGGATAATGACTGGTCTCCAAAACTGAAACGTCTCATTTAGAACTTCTGGAGTAGGGAGACTAGGGAAGAGGAAATGTGAGTACGAAGAAAGCAGAGAAAATGATGTCGAAACTTAAAAAATGCTCACCTTCCAGTTAAGCTGCCCCTTGCTAATTCCCCTTTCGAAGAAAACACAGTGAAGAAAGCTGCCTTATTTTTGGAAAGCCACCCAGGTTAAACCTTGGTGAGTCTTTTATGCAATTAATAGAATTAAACAAAATTAATCGACTCTGAAATTTTTAAATAGCTCTTTTCCTCATTAACCTTGGATCATTTTACTTCCTAAGTGTAACGCCATTCCCGTCGTTCAGTTTGCGCTACGCATCACCTGATGCTATCCACCACATAAGGGACCTTTTTTTGAGGTCCTTGTGGAGCAAAATGTTGTAGAGCGCTATGAAACGTATAACTTTACTTGAAGGAAGAATTTTCGTTCAGAACCCCGAGTTTCAGGTCCAGCACGGTCCTAAGTTTAGATAACACTTACTTTGGAATCTCCAATAAAAGGACCTTACAAGTTGGATTTTGTTAGACATATGGTTTCTTCAACATCGGTTTTCTCGCACCCCTTTCCACATTGAAAGGGAGTCGCTACACATCAGTATGCATATTCTCATACTCTTGTCTATAAATTTCTTTAGCTGCTGACAAGGAAAATTTGTTTAACAATTAAGAGCTTCTATAGTTGATGATCATTTCTTTATTCTCGTGACCTTTATGAGTGATTCAGATCGGGCTGCCGCAGTAAGGAGAAATTCAATGCTTGTCGTTGTTCAGGGTCCAAAGGTTAAGCACAAACAAGTGGTACAGTACAATCTCAGGCTGAGATTGCTATGGTCGAAAACAGACCAGAATTGAGCGGGTCACAAACAATTTAGGTTTAACTACGATATATATTTAACTTCTCGCATGATTTCACTGACAGCTCGAGCAAACTCTATCACATACACATCTAAACTGACCATATTAGTAAAGTGGGAAACAACTAAAAACGAATTGAAGGAGTGTTGTCCAATACTCCTAAATTAACATAGCCTGCAGTACAAGCGAGTTCACGTTAAGACGCGCGCGATCGTTTTTTCAACCGGCCAAGTTAAATTTGGAGTCGACGGTAGGGGGAGGGAGTGGGGGAGGAAAGGAGTGACATTCACTTTCCCACCCTCGCACGTTCCTTATTTTTTCACTGTCGCTCACCCCTTAGGTACAAGTCTCTTTCTTACCCAGCTTCCCCTTTCATTAGGATCAGAGATGACGGCCAAAAAAATACTCAGAAAATACTGAGCACTCGCTTGCCAAAATTACGCGCGCTCTGCATACTAAAATCAACAGGAATCTCTTAAAGCGTGATATTCGAGTCGCAAAATGTATCTCATTAGTTGGACTGAAAATATATCGTGAGAGTTAAAGGGTGCCGTGAACGATTTTATGTCGGATCGTTTAATGTGTACGAGTTGTGAATGTTAAAGCTGGTTTTCGAAACGTGAACTGTATCCCATTTGTGAGACTTGACACGTGACAGCATACGCGTATGCGTCGTTTACAAGCAATGAATAATTACGTGTTCTGACTTTCCTCGTCGATTTTGCTCGCTCTTTAATCAATCTTGCGTACAGTAAAAGCAGAGTTCAGAGTATGTTTCGTTATTTAATAACAATAAAACTGTCCCTCTTTTTTTCTTCTACAAAGTTTCGTTTTCAATGGTCCTCGTATTCAACCAGTATAACGTTACTGCTATGAAATCAAGCTTAAAATCAATCCTGCCTCAACAGTGTGCCCCACCCTTTGAAATAGCCTCATTGTGTAACAGTCTGATCACCGCGTACATACACCTCTATTTCAGCAACGAACATTTTTCTCCAAGATTGTTTTCCTTTTCCACCGTATTTATTTATATTACACGTCAGATCTGGGCGCGTGAATTTTTAGATCAGAAGAAAAGTTTTGGTTAGTTGGAGCGTTACTAATCATAGCTGTAATTTGCCACGTTGTGTATGCAGTCCACAATTATACTGTGGTGAACTGACCGATTCATCCTTTTGGCCGGTGAAATTTGCTCAATTTGCAAATTTCATGTATTCATTTCGCAAAATACACATTTTCATTTCTTTTCTTAAATAAGGACAACAATAGTCTCTTCTATTGCTTTCCCTAAGTGACAGCGAAAATTGTGAAATGGTGTGCCAACAATTTTTCGTTCAAACTGCGGCTCTACGACGGCGCAAGATGGTATACCGGCGAGAGATAGGACGATATTCTGTGATGAATTCTATCTATTTGGCTTTCAAAGTAAAAGTGGAGGGCGACTTGTTTGGGCACTCGTGGGAAGAAGAAAAAGCGGGAGGACAGCAAGCGTGAGTGTACTTCTCCATTTGCGCGCGTTTATTGTTTCATTTCGTTTTGCTTTATTTTGTTTTTTTTTTTTCGTATGTTTGTCTCTAGAAGCTCTCAACACTCTTATTAATGAAGTTTCTTTTCTTTTCCTTTTCAGTCTGATGAACGTAGACTCGCGTCTTCTCGATCAGGACGTAAGCCAATGTCTGGACGGCAAGGCGTGGGAGAAACATGAGATGGAACAAGTATGTACCCCGCGTGATCTGGCCCAGGGTGCTTTGCTGTACCATTCGAGACCCTTTCCTGCCCAACTTCCCACACGTCTTAGCGTCTCAATTAGTGTTAAATGAAAAGCTGACAGCAAGGACCGATTCGGCCTAGAACAGGATGAAGGTGACAAAGGTGAGAGTGTTAAGAGGATGATCGCAGCAAAGATTCCTTGTCCACTGTGGCCACATTCGTACGCCTAATCAAAGTTATTAACATGAGCAAAATATCACGCGATCATACCGAGCACGATAAACTGATAGGCATTTCCGTACATGCACGCTTCACACTACGATTCGTAGTTACATTTGCGCTCCGAGAGCTCGAAATATATGGTAGATTACTTATCACTGAAACCCAACTTAACAGAGGTATTTCCGGGCTAAAACCTCTGTGATCTTGTGTTTTTGTGCAGACACAGCAGACTGTCTTAATCGCTTGGAAACGGATCCTTCAACAGGAAAACGAGTTGTTTTGCGCGTGCAGATCACTCTCTATAAGGACAGTTGAATTGAAATATTTATATTTCTCTGAGAGTATAGATAGACATGAATTGTTAGAGTTAGTCTCTTCTCGTTTTCAACTAAGTTAAATATGTATTCTAAGTGGAAGGGGGTAGATTACTAATACGTTAGAGTTAACGGTTCGATAACTGGACTAGTTCTTTAACTTCTGAATTTGTCTTCAACTTTT